AGAAACATGAGAACAGCAGAAACACCACAGAATCACTGAATCAAAGACTTAGGGAATTGGAATGGGGCTCAGGAGGCATCTAGCCTGACTCTTGCCCTAATTAGGAATCCTCTTCATGGAATCCTTCTAAGTGGCCATCCAGCTGCTTCATATCATGTCAGGCAACTCCCTCCTTCCCAAGGCACCTCATGACATTTTTGGACAGCTGAAAATTTCAGTTCTTTTCCTTACATTGAGAAGATCTGTTCTGTCACCCAGGACTGTTCTAGTCCAGGAGTCTGCCTCTAACAAGGGGCACTATGGACTAGAAATGTGCTGTCTGTGATGGGAGGGTACAGTCATCCTCCTCCCTGATCCAGGTTTAGTGGTTCGCGATCTCTTCCAAAACCCTGGAAACCATAAGCTGACTGCAAACTCAACATAATACAAGGCAGATGTTAGTTGTGGCTACCAAAAAGGCAGATGTAATCTTGAGTAGCATCAGAAGACAGATGATGGTCAGATGTGATAGTCTCACTATACTCTGCCCTGGTCAGACCACATCTGAATAAAATTCAGTTCTGTTCAATTCTGGGGGCCATATTGTAGGAAGGATACTAACAAATGGGAGTCTGGCTAGAGGAAGGCAATGAGGGAACTCCTCTGAGAAGTGAGACTGCCATCTTATCTTGACTAGAATCACACATTCACACCTTCCTGTCACTTCTCCAGCCATCTCCAGACCATCTCATGGTGTGTATCACCCCCTCATCCAGCTTTGTAGCTCTTCTTTATGGATTGTCTTCCCCAATTAGAATATAAACTCCTTAAGGGTAGGGGCTGTCTTGCTTATCCATAGTAGTATTCCTAGCACTTAGCACAGTTCCTGGCACATAGTAAGTGTTCAGTAAATTATTTATCTGTCTATCCACCATTCCATCCATCTCTCCATCCATCTGTCCATCCATCCCTCCATCCATCTATCTGATCCATCCACCTATCTCTCTCTCTCTCTCTCTCTCTCTCTCTCTCTCTCTCAATTTAAGAAATTTGGGATTCTGATGTACATAGAAGACAGTACTGGGGTGGGAGCCAGGGAATCTGAATTCAAATTTGAATTCTATCACCTATCATAGTATAATTTAGTGAGGACCTTAGAAGTTATCCAGTCCAACCATTCATTTTTACAGGTGAAGAAACTGATTGGTGCAGGGCCACATAGCTATTGAGTGTCTGAGGCAGGATTTGAATCCAAGTCTTCCTGCTTACAAGTCCAGGGCCCTATACCATGCTGCTCTAACCTACATAAGTGATTTGGGGCAATTTATTTAACCTCTCTGGGGCTTCAGTTTCCTCATCTGTAGAATCAAGAGTTGGACTAAATGGCTTTTAAGGCCTCTTCCAGTTTTAATTCTGTGATCTTTTTTTTTTAACCTTGAGAAAAATAAACTTGGGTGAGGACAGAGGCAAATCATTATACAGAAATAGTTAAAAGATCTTCATGTGGAAATGGGATTATAATTAATTTTGTGTGGCTTCAGAGGGAAGAATTAGGAGAGAAGGTTAAGGTCACAGGAAGTCAAGTCTGGCTCAACACAAGGATGAACTTCCTAACTGTTGGAATTATCCAAAGACAGAACAGACTTTCTCACAGTACAGTGAGTCACTTATCCATAAACATATTTAAGGAGGAACTGAGTAAACACTGGATTGGAGCCAATGCAGAAGGGATTCATATAAAGGTTGGCAGGTTGGACTAGATCATCTCTGAGATAGTGTGATTAATATGCAGGTATTAAGCATCTGGGCAGCTAGGTGGCACAGCAGATAGACCATGGAGCCTAGAGTCAGAAAGACCTGAGTTCAAATATGGCCTCAGATAGTTCCTAGCTGTGTGACCCTGGGCAAGTCACTTCATCCTGTTTGCCTCAGTTTCCTCATCTGTCAAATGAGCTGGAGAAAGAAATGACAAATGTCTCCAATATTTTTGTCAAGAAAACCCCAAATGGGGTCACAGAGAGCAAGAAATTACTGAAAAATGACTGAACAACAAGAAGTAGGCAGAATATTATGCTGGGATCCAGGGAGATACAAAGTTAGGCAATCTCTGCCCTCAGGGAGCTTTTGGTCCAGTAGATGGACAATCAATCAGTCAAGAAGATTTATTAAATGCTTGCAATGTGCTGGGTACCATGCCAAGATCTAGGAGTAAAAAGAAACGCAAAAATAGTCCCTGCCCTTAAGGAGCTCACATTCTAGAGAAGGATATAACATTACAAATAATTGGGTAGAATCAAAATATACTCAAGAGTACAGTGCAGATTGAAGCATATTTTTCCACTTCCTTTGTTTCCTGCTTTTTATTTATTTTTCTGACACATAGCTAATACGGAAATGTTTTGCACAATTTCATGTTTATAATTGATATCATATTGTTTGCCCTCTCAGTAGGTGGTGGAGGGACAGGAAGGAGGAAGAGAATTTTTAATTAAAATTTTAATTAAAATTTTCCAAAAAATGAATGTTAAAAATAAATTATTTTTTAAAAGGATATACTCAGAAAAGATGAAAGGTAGCTGTAGGAGGTGGGGGCCGCTGGGAAAGGCCTCCAGTATAGAATGTGATTTGAGCTATGTTAAGTAAGAGAAAGCAGGAGGTGTAGGTGAGGAAGGAGAGCATTCCAGGAAAGGAGAAGAGCCTGGACAAAGGCACGGACATGAGTGACAGAGCGATGTGAACAAGGAAGAGCCAGCAGGGCAGTGTAGCTGGGTCACAGATTGGGAGAAGACTGGAATGGCTAAAAGTGGCCTGCTTATCAAGATATTTCAATGCCAAACAAGGGCTTTTATCTGATCCTGCAGTACTGTAACACGTAGCCGCTAGAGCTCAGTGAGCAGAGGAGATAACACCTTCAGACCCAAGCTTTACAGCACTTTGGCAGCTGAATGGAGGATGCACTGAAGTAGGGGAGACTTGAGGCAGGGGGACCAGAATACAAATGCAGACAACTGTTATTCACAAAAACAAATACAAAGGTAGGGATGAGGACACAGAAGCTCTAATCACACCTGTGCTACCATGGTGACCTCAGTCCTGGCTCAAACCCTCTCTACCTCAGTTTCTTCAGCTGTAATTAAGTAGAAACAACTACTTTCCTGATCAACCTTCTGGATTATCTGGAGGACCAAATGAGACAGTACATGTGAAAGCAGATTTGGGAAAGCATAAAGTGTAAGAAATGGCTGAGTAAGGTCTCCATCTTTTGAACTGTCATTGTACTCAGTGATTCTGAGCATGAATAACGAGCTCAACGCTATGGGTGATGAGCCTTCCCTACCCCTTTCACAATACCCGCATGGGACTCATGGACAGCTTATCTATAGACTTGGCTGCTTTCTGTAAGGGGCATGTGTGTGGGAAGGGAGTGGGGACTGGCAATGTCAGATGCTTATCTTGGAATGTGAGGGGAGTTCGAGAAAGAAGAGATTCCCATGGGGGCTCTGGGGCAGAGGTTTGTGGTTGGACTGGGATCAAATGGGAGAGAGATAATGGAAAGGGAGGCAAAGCCAAGAGGAGGGAGAAAAGTGAAGTAGTGTCAGGCCACTGCAGTAGGAAAGTATGCTAGGAGAGAACGAAGCCAAGTGCTTGTGTCTATATTCCCAGCACTTAGCACAATGCCTCGTACATAAAAAGTACTTAAGAAATTCTTTATATCTATCATCTATTCATATCAACTATCTATCCATTTTTCCATTCATTTGTCTATCCATCTATTTATCAATCTTTTTATCCAAATATTTATCCGTCTTTCTATCTATCCGTCTGCTTATCCATCTTTCCAGCTATCACCTATCCATTTTATCATCTATCTATCCATCTATTTCTCCAGCTCTCCATCTGTCTATCTATCTATCTATCTACCTACATACCTGCTGTCTTCTCTCTCTCTCTCTCTTTCTGCATACCCAGTCTCACTATTTACTGGCTGTGTGACCCTGGATAAGGCACCTGTGATGAAGGTTACTAATTTAGAGTATCCATGATGATACTAATATGATCACATACTCCCTACTCCCTTTATGCCTTTCAAAACTAGCTGTGCCTAAAAAGAAATGTGTCTCCCTCCAGCCAATTTTGTGATGAGACTCTCCAAATTTAGCCAGGCTGGTTTTCAAATGACATCTATATTTAGGCTATGATCTGAGTTCAAATCTAGCCTCATCCACCTACTGGTTGTGTGAGCCGGGACAAGTCACTTAACCTCTGTTTGTCTCTATTTCCCCATCTATAAAATAGGGGTAACAGCACCTACCTCCCAGGGGATGTTGTGAGGATCAATTGAGATAATACTTGTAGAGCACTAGCGCAGTGCCTGGCACACAGTAAGTGCTATATAAATGCTAACTATTATCATTATTATTATCATTATTATTATTATTATTACTGCTCCTACTGTTGTGTCTATCTTATCAAGGAGAAAAGGAAGCACTGAGAGATCACAGGATGTGCAAAATTTGTAGAATTCACCTGACCTCGTTCATCTTTGCATAACAGCCCCTACACTAGCTTCTCTGAACCATATCACTGCATACTTTATATTGGCTGCAGCTGTTCTATGTCCCCTGGAACATAAGCTTCTTGAAGGCAGGGACTGTTCCCTATATGTCTTTTCCAGGGGCTGGCTGGTAAAGGTTAGCAACTGACTCTCTGAAAAGGAAATTTGCCCAGGATAGGCTTTTAAGTTTAATATAAACTATTAACACTTTCTTCCTTAAGTCTTGGTCGATCAACAAAACAATACACCGATCCCTAATCTGTAGCCTGCCAATTGCTGAGTTGTAAATGCTCACCCTGCAAATTTACCCATCCGACAGATGGACCACCACATCCCTGGCCTTCTCTCCCACATCCCCTCCCACACTGTTCAACCAGCGCCACTGGGCACACCATCAGCACACATTTAACACTCATTGATGGACTCTGTAGGTTCAGGCACCCACGTTCTGCTCCCAACTACTTACCATCCACCATCTATAGGTGTCATTCTCCAAGAAAGCATTCTGGGCATTCAGCAATGGCTGCATTGTATGATTAAATCTCTCATCGAACCAGGGTGCCAACCCAGTCTCTGAGATGCACTGGGAGCAACCACAGGGTCTTTCAGGGTACTTCATGAGTCTTTTGAGATGCTCTGAGAAATGCATCACCATCTGCTTGGGGAACCAGGTGTAGGCAGTTGTGGTGTGAGCATAGTTCAAGAAGAAGGATGTGAGAAAAACCAGAAGGAGGATGAAGGTAAACACTTTCAGGCCTTTCTTCCTGATCATTGCCATCTTTTTCCCCTGGGGGGAGTCTTAGTAGGCAGGAATAGATGAAGAGGTTCCCAGAGACTGAAAAATTGGGACAAGGCCTTATCTGGTCAGAGGAAAAGAGGCTATCCCTACTGCAGATGTAAGGCCAACCCCAAATTCATCTCTTTGAGAAGAAGTCTTCCATTGTCTCCTGAAATTTCTGTAATCTTCTGGAGACAGAAACTGTATCATGTGGGGAGTCTCTGTTCTATTTATCTTATCATTTAGTGTTTAAAATAAAATAATCCTGGTTCTGTTTCTTCAGTCCTCCTAAACAGCGACTGATTTCTCTCTTCCAGGCTTTAATCAAAACAAATAACAGTAATTTCCTTTCCCTGTTCAAACAGATTGAGAGGCAATTAATATCTGTGTCAGAGTCTGGCTAGCCTTCCGGCAGAGAATATCAATGAAGGGACCCGCAGCAAGATGAAAGATTCTTTTCCCTCACACCTCCGAAAAGTTTGTCCTCCCTGCGATTGAATCCTGAGTGCCAATCAAAGGAGCAGGTGAAAGGGCCAGGACGCTTGAATCACAGGGACCTGGCTGTCATCTGCACGAAAGAAGAAAACAGAACGAAACTGTGTTGAGTACTTGAAAAAAAAAATCACCCACTTGCTTTTACATCCCTAGCTTTCCTCTCTCTGTCTCTCTTCCTCTCTCCTCCTCCCCAACTTCTGATTAAAAAACAAACAAACAAACAATTTAAAACTGCTAGGTAGAGGCTTTCAAGCAAAAGCGGGGTCAACAACGGGCCCAAGCTTCAGGGTTAACAAAGGTGGGACCACGTTGTTATCTACATTTTTTTTATAAATAACGAAACTGAGGTTCAGAGGAAGAAAATGATTTGCAGAGTAGATCATAGATACAGGGCTGGAAAGGCCCTGACAGGCATAAATTCGGAACTGGAGGGGACCTCCGAGACCATCTAGCCCAGCCCACTCATCTGCAGATGAGGAAACTAAAATCGACTAAAGTTCAATGATGTGTCTAGAGTCGCACAGTAAGTGGCAAGGCTGGGAATCAAATGCCAATCACGGGCCTCGGCTCCCTCATCTGTGAAAGACTGTGCTAGAACAGCATCTGAGGCTCCTTTCAGGTCCAGATCTATGATTTTTTGACCCCCAATGCCATGGTTTTTACATCAAATTACACTGCCTACAGCTAAATACACAGTCATCTGCCTAAGTGCATTTGAAGCCAGGCTCTGAACTTAGGTCCCTATGCTCCAGGGCCAGGGCTCTTTCCCCTGCTCCTCCCCCTTCCACAGAATGGCTAAAGGGGCAGTTGCCCCAGTGGTCCAAACTGTTACCAAGTAATTAACTGTTTTTATTAGAGAAGACACTCTTGGATGGGGTTGCTCCAAACCCCCGACTGATCTCAATAGGGATAACAGCTCACATTTATACAGGACGTTACAGTTTGCAAAACACTTTATGTTACATTATCTTATTTAATCCTCCTAAGAACTCTGTGAGGTAGAGGCTTATTATCAGTCCCATTTTACACATGAGGATATCGAGCAGCTAGGTGGCAGAGGACAAAGAACTCTATTACAGTTGGAATCAGTTAGACCTAAATTGGAATCCTGATTCCGATACTGATTAGTTGTGTGATCCTGGGCAAGTTACTTAATACTGCCCAGTCTTGAGTCTCCTCATCTCTAAAATGGGGATAATAATCACACTTAACTACCAGGGCTGTTGAGATTTGATGAGATAACATATTAAAGCGCTCTGCAAACCTTATAGTGCCATGTTATGGACACCATACTCATCAGTATTGATAAGCACCAAAGATACTAAGGACATCCAAAGCAGTGATTATACCCAGTCACGCTTTCAGACAAAAAGTTCTCCTTACAGCAAGCCCAAGGAATACATTCTTATTCCATTTTAGAGGTGAAGAAAACAGAGGCTTGGAGAGGCCAGCGGCAGTACTAGAACTCAGATCTTCTAGCACTGAACACATGGGTCTTTCCAGTGCACCCAAACTGACCCCATGTTTAAAGACACGCTGGCCTCTTCATAAGATGGTGGCCACAATGGCAGTCTTTTAGATAAAGAGCCTCCTTGATCTAAATGATGGTGAGTGGGAAAGAAGTTAGGACAGCATACGGAGGCTCTTGGAAGGCAGTTCCATCCACACTTGTTTGGGCAGAATGTACCCCCATTTCAGGAACAATTTAAAGTTGGTTCCTTCCCCAACCTGACATGTACCAACTATGATTCACTGTCTGCTAGACAAACTCTCCATCTTTTACTAAACAGCATGCAAAAGCAGTATACTACAAGGCATGGTGACTCCTTGATTAATCAGAACATAATTAAAATTTGAGGTGGTTGTCGTTTCTTTGTGTTTGTTTGGAAGACTGAGGCACAGCTCAAGGAAACAAGAGGTTATCAAAAAAGGAATGCCTGGGGAAGGAACAATCCAGCCCAAGGACCCATTTACATACATCTTCTTCATTTACATCTCTAGGACCAGAAAAGGAGAACTAATACTCACACTTGTGGCCCCATTAAGGTCCTCACTCATCCACCAGCTGTGACCTCTTCCCTCAGAAGCTCCCATAAAATGTATTTTGATCTTCTCTTGTAGTATTTAATCGTAGAATCATAGGTTTGGGGCAAGAAGGGACTTGCTATCCTTATCAAAGCAGGAGAAAGGGACTGAAAAGGGAAGCAGCTTCACGAACAAAGGTTAAAGCCAACGTTTCCGGGCTAACCCTTGAAGATGTCCGTTAATTCCGCTCCCTTCACCCCTCTCCATCCCAAGTCATTCTGGTTAGTCTCAGCAGGACTTGGATTCAACCCCAGTGTTGGTGATTTGAGACCTGGAAGTCCCTTCATCCTCTGCATCTGGTGCTGCAAACCTTCCTCCTTGCAACGGAGAGTGGGAGGAGGGGAGCAGAGAAAATGTTGAAAATGATGTGACAGCTGGGGCCTCACCCCACCGGAAGCAACTTGCATGTGGCAGGACCTCGTCACGGAAGCATCATGTTGGTTTTCCTGAAATGTTCACTTTAAGTCACTGCTCTGGTCCTCTGTTTTTATGCTGAGAAGGGTCCTGTCCCATCTTGCTCTCCTGCCCCTCCCTGTCTCTACTTGCCTTACTCAGATCTGGAAACACGCAGACCACTTCCTCAACTGAGAGCTTCCGTATCAGCCTCCTGCATCTCAGTGACAACAGAACTCAAACCCTCTGTCACGCTATCTAATGTTTGTCAAGATTTGGTTTTCCCCCTTTCTTCTGAACTCATGACGCTCGATATCGTCCTGCAAACTCTTACTCAAATTTTCATTATACCTATTTGTGCAACTATGTAATTCCCTTCACACCACCTATAAGTTCCTTGAGGGCCTTTCTATCTTTGTTTCTCACTCTAATACCTAGACTAATAACAATATCACATTTATATGGCATTTCAGCATTTTAAAGTATTTCTATCCCACCCTCCATGCCCATTTTATAGATGGGGAAAGCAAGGCTCAGGGAGGCGATGAGACTTGTCCATGGTCACAAAGCTGTTTAGTGGAGGATCAGGGTGTCTTCTCACTCCAGGTCCAGCTATACCATATTGCCTCACAATCAAGCACACCCTTAATAAGGGTTTTTGTTAAGTAAATGTTCAGGCCGTCTTTAAATGAGAGAGTAAGGGCTGGAAATGATCCAGCATACAATAGTCTCCATAAATGATAAGTGGGAATGTTTACCCTTCGTGGATAGTGTGGGACTGAACTAAATGATCTCTACAATCCCTTCCAGCCTGAACCTTTTATGAAATGAAAGACTGGCAACAGAATATGTTAGAGCCACAGGAAGGCGGGAGGCGGTGGGAGGGCACAGGATATCCTCTGGAAGGTCATGCTCCGGTCTGTTAGGAGGACAAATGGGAACAGTCGATGACACAGTCTGGATGTAATCCCTTCATTTCCAATCCTGTGCATTTTGGTCAATAAGTCAATGATCAGCCCGAGTGCTTGATCCACTTTGCCCTGCCCAAATGTTTGGTTCTGGGCTGGTTTTAATCAGTTCTTACATAAGATCTAGAAGCAGCTACAGAAGTGTTTGGGAGGTGAGGGGTGAGTGTGGGAACGACTGCTAAAGCATAGTCCCTACAAATAAAATAAGAATGATCTTTCTTTGGGGCGCACTTTTAAATTCCGACCACTCCCCACAGGTGAGGCCCCCTATCACTTGTCACTGGCCTAAAGAATGTTCAGCCAAAATTACAGATGCTGAAAAATGAGATTAAGAAGGGGAGGTGAAGGATGGGAAAAGAGAAGGATTAGGAAGGAAAGGGAAGGGGGAGGGAGGAACAATTCAGCAAAGCAGTGATTTAAACTAATTGAGCCTGAACACCAAAGTGAATGCAATGTGAGCAGAGACATTCTTGCTTAGGGTTTCTAAAAGATCTGGCCCTGAGACTTCAAAAATCCATGGAAATTTCTTGTATATCAACACAAGAGGCAGCTGCCCAAAGTGTTGCTGAATCTGAAGAGCTGGGGGATGGAGACAGAGATGCGCTCTCAGGAATGTAACACGTCTCTGAGAAGCGTGATTGTGAAAACAACGCTGTCTTCCTTCTCCCTCCTCCTCCCCCACCCCCACTCCTGCCCAAGTCCAGCAAAGGCAGGGGCCAGTCAGACAGTCTCGGTGTCTAGGTCTAGTTCTGTGATGGGTTCACTTTGTGGGACATCGCTCAAGTCACTTCTCTTACCTATAATACGAGGAGGCAGGTCCTTTCAGCTCAAACAATCAGTGAACTCTATGAAAGTCTAGATGTCACTAAAGAAGAGGAGGGGGATAAACCTCAATTTCCCTTTTGCTCTAGAGAAATGGAATATTCCTAGACAACGAGCAGGGAAGAAACTGAGAATCTCCTTCCAAGTCTTTCCCTTCCTCCAGAAACAGGAGAACTCTTGGCAACATTTCTCAGATTATCTCAGCAAACTGTAAGCTTCTTAGAGAGCTAGCTCAGGGTAGGGCCTCTTTGGGAGTTGGTCTTTATATTACTAGCACTAGTAGAGTGCTTGATATATAGTAATAATAATTAACGCTTGTTTAAGAGAGATATAAAATTTAGATAGGACCTTTCTGTGTCCTCATGGAGCTTATAGTATATTAGAGGGATAAAACACGCAGACAATTATGATACAAAATAATACATGAGGGGAAAAGAAGTGGTAGGTGAGGTTTCCGGTGTGGGAAGAAGGGCAAGGAAGGAGTGTTATTTACCTACTAGGATATCAGGAAAGACTTAATGAAGGAAGTAACATCTGAATTGAGCTTTTAAAAGGGTAGATAAGAATTCAATAAACGGAGATGATGCCTGAGGGAAGGGAGAAAAGGCT